CTCCCCCCTCCACTCCCCCCTTCCCTCCTTCCCTCCCTCCCTCCCTCTCTCTTTTTTGACAGGGTCACTTTGCGTAGCCCAGCCTGGCCTCAGACTCATAGTGATCCTCCTGCCTCAGCCTCCCAAGTGCTGGGGTCACAGTCATCCTTCACCATGCCCGATATCAGCTTTTTCCTTTCTGAGATTCTGAGGTTTGGACCCAGGGCCTTGCCCATGTTGATGTGTGTCTTTGGAAAGCTGGCCACAGGCCTTTTCTCTCTTTCCCTTCAGAATATATTTTGCTTTGAAAATAAGACTTTGGGTATTTTTGTCTGTTTGGTTTGTTTTTTTGCTTATGACTTTCTATTTTTAGATGTATGTGGTATATTCCATATTATGGTATATCCTCACATCTGCAGAGTATTTAACAAATTTTGAGGTTCTTTTCAGGAAATACTTAGCCATTTCTAGAAAGTGAGGTGAGTTTTAAATCTGGGCTGCTGGGAAGTTTCCTGGGAGTCAAGGGCACAAGTTTTAAAATGGAATTTGAGAAAGTATTTAAAATGCTAACTCAGAGAGGGCCCCGCCTGCTCACGCAAGGCTTGTCAGGGTCTCGTTCAGCCGAACATCTTGGAAAGGAGCAGAGTTCTGGGCGGGGTGAGGGCCGGAAGTTTCTAGATTCCTTTTTCGTTTTACCTTTCTTGATTTTCCCTCTTACAAAGATGTGATTCACAAAGGCACACTACAGAAACCGGTCCCAGACACAAAAGAGCGTGCACCGTCTCAATGTCTTTTCTAATTGCAAATTCAAGAGCTTATGTGTTAACCTTTGCGTTATCACAGTGAAGCTCATGTGGTCCAGTCGTCATCGCAGGGAGGCACAGTGAGCTGTCTCGGCCACTCTCTGCCCAGTCCCATCACCCACTGGAAGTGTCTCGGACATTTTCCGTCCCTTCTAGAAAGAGGAAGAGGTGCCCACACTCTCCGTGACAAAAGCCTTATTGTCACAGTTGGTAGAAAGTTCTTTCATGGGGCAGTGCTTGAAAGCAGCCATCCAAGATTGTCACGAATGGATCCTTTTTTAAGTTTATGAACAACCACAGGAACACTGTTTTGTATTTGTATAGTTTTTTAAAAGTACTTTCTCAACTAATTTTTATACTTACCTTTTAAAAAACTGTCCCGGAATGTGAAATGTGCCCATTCTGTACCTAAGAGTGTAGAAACGGAGAAGCCCAGGTCACACAGCTGTTTAGGGGAAGCGCTGCGCCCAGATTCCCACCTCCACAGTGCCACGCTAGTCCCAGGCACCTGCTGCCACCCACAGCACTCCGTGAACTGTGCCAGATTAAAGGCAGCTGCTTCAGCACTACCGGTGCACACCGCTTTCTCAAATCAGACTAACTTCTGTGCAGTTTCTTTATGTTAAGCATCATACCAACTACTTCATGGGCATTATTCCCCTTTTCCCTAAGAATAATATGCTAGTCCAGAATGATTAACCCCTTCTTACAAATGGGGAAACCAAGACACTGAGAAGCCAAATAAATGCCTTGCACAAAGCCACATGTCATGTAAATGCCAGCGCCTGCTTTCACACTGTAATTAACTCGACCCCGAGGTGCCTCGCGCTCCCTCGTGTCATTCTGCCACCCGTGAGAATTCCGTGTCTCTCATTTACCTGCTCAGTGATAACTGAGGCCAGTGTGGGAGATCGTGAGTAGGTTGTTGGCAGTCTCCTCCTGACAAATGGGCATCTTCTTTAGAACTAGAGAAAGACATGCTGTGTCAGCTCCAATTTACTTTTCTCATTTTTGTGTTTATTAGTTCATGTTTGCAGTACATGATGTTTACGTTCATTCTGTCTTGAAGTTGGCTTTAACTCTTGGAGCTTTAAGGAAACCAGGTCAGGCGGCATGGGGTCAAACTGTCAAGATCAGCATCTTCTCACTGCGGATGCTGGGATAGGGCCGCTCCTTGGGTGACACTTGGATGGGCCTGGGATCTCTTTAACTCTCAGTGTGCTTGTGAAGGAAAGTTGAAGAGAAACATGCATGTTGCTGCTTCTTTGGCTCCTGGGTCCCATCTGGATCATTCTCCTCCTTCTCCAAAGGGCAAAGTCTTTAGGCAGCAGAAGCGGTGGAGCTGAGGGTTTCCAGCTACAAAGGTGGCTGTCAGTTGGGGTGGTTCACAGATACCGAGGCTGCCAGAAAGAGACCTTGGATGCCAGTTGGGTACAAAAAGCATTGTCCTAAGCCTGACCCTCTGGATGTGCCCTCCAGTTACATAATGAAAGAGCCAGTCAGCCGCCGAGCCTCTGCTTGGCCAGGGCTGTGACTTTCTCTGTATAGCGCTTTCACTTTTTGTACAAATACCCCAACCTTTGTGGTTATTGTTGGGACTGATCGCCACAATGTGCCATTTATGGAGGCACCTGCATCCCATGGGTGCCCAGCAGATCTTGGCCTGCCGCTCCTTTCAGCAGGGTTCCCTGCACACACGAATGGAACTAAACCCTCAATCAGTGGATTCAAGAGATGGAACTCTGTCCCACTCGACCCACCCCGCAAGAACGCGAAACTTCAACCTTTAAATTAGCCATTGTTTAAAAGTAAGCACCATCTCTTATCAACCCTAAATGCAGACTTGAACTTTGAGTCGATATCAAAGGTTGTATTCTGCTTTTTAAATAAAATATATTTTTATTATAAAGCCATAGGAAAGGGTTATTCTTTTATTTTAAAATAAGAATATACTCCTGTATGGTAGCTAGGGAGACTGAGGCAGGAAGATTGCAAGCTTGAGGTCAGCCTGGGCAATTTAGGAAGACCCTGTTCAAAAGGAGTGGGGATGTAGCTCAGTGGCAGAGCACCTACTATTCAGTCCCAACTGCTACCAAAAAAGGAAGGAAAAG